CAAATGTTTTCTGTAAGTCTTCACAAGGTTTTCACACACTGTTGCTAGTACCAAATACTTATTTTCCACTATGATTTGCAAATAAATTCTTTAAAAATCAGACAATGTGATTTTCTGGATTTTTTCCCCCATTTTGTCTCTCACCAAATACTTATTTTCCACTATGATTTGCAAATAAATTCTTTAAAAATCAGACAATGTGATTTTCTGGATTTTTTCCCCCATTTTGTCTCTCACCAAATACTTATTTTCCACTATGATTTGCAAATAAATTCTTTAAAAATCAGACAATGTGATTTTCTGGATTTTTTCCCCCATTTTGTCTCTCACCAAATACTTATTTTCCACTATGATTTGCAAATAAATTCTTTAAAAATCAGACAATGTGATTTTCTGGATTTTTTCCCCCATTTTGTCTCTCACCAAATACTTATTTTCCACTATGATTTGCAAATAAATTCTTTAAAAATCAGACAATGTGATTTTCTGGATTTTTTCCCCCATTTTGTCTCTCACCAAATACTTATTTTCCACTATGATTTGCAAATAAATTCTTTAAAAATCAGACAATGTGATTTTCTGGATTTTTTCCCCCATTTTGTCTCTCACTCTCATAGTTGAGGTATACCTATGATGAAAATTACAGGCCTCTCTCATCTTTTTAAGTGGGAGAACTTGCACAATTGGTGGCTGACTAAATACTTTTTTGCCCCACTGTATCATGGAGATATGGCAGAAAAAAAAGGATGTTGCCAGGGCATGTTTGCGCCATGGTTAGGTGCAATAATGAGAAAAGACCCTCACAACAATAATCAAGCTGACAAACATACAGCTTTTGGAGTACAACTGGGCTTATCCCCATCTTTTTCCAAAAGATGGAACATATTCTAGACCATGGAGCTCCTAACAGCTGTTCTTGAAGGGAAATTACAGGCTATCCCATTTGAACAAAGACTTTGTTCTTGTGGTAAAGGAGTTCCTGAAACACCAACCCATGTTCTTTTATACTGTTCCCATTACAAAGATGCCTGGGTTGCAGCTAAGCACCCCATCTAATCAAATTTCCAGGCCTTGCAGTTCCATTTTATTTACAGTTGATACTATCCAATCAGTGATATTTTATTTCTCTTAATGTGGCTAAGTTTTGTTTTACTGTTTGTAAAATACATGACGCTTTGACTACAACAGTTTTATAACTATTGGGTTTTACTGTGGTTTTTACTTGCTGTCTCACACTTGTTTCTCTTTGGTTTTGAGCTGGTCTGTGACTATAATAAAATATCTATCTTCTAGGCTCTGGGGAATTTTAAATGATACCATTTATCCAGAAGACCTGGTTCCAGAGAACTTCACTATGGCAATAGCAAAGTTAATTAACCATTAGCACAGTCCAAAGGCAGACGTGGCTCATCTGACAACACAAGACAGAAGGTGTTGAACTGACTTCTGCAGCCCGACTCTAGGCTTTCTTATCCTCCCTGCTCTAAATGTGGAATAGTTTGGGGATCCCAGGCACCTTGGTGTTGACAAAAAATCGCAGCTGCTCAGCAGTCACGCTGGATCCCCGCTGTTCTGTGCAGCCTCCCAAGACTTGGCGGAGTGCAAAGTTTAACAAGTGGGTAGCTGTGTGGTTCCTCATGGAGGCTAGTCTCTGGGCCTGAAAGTGAGGACAACGCACTGGATAAGAAGGGGATGCTGGTGTTGCAAGACATAATAATAAAGACGAACATATCAGCAATAAAAAATGAAAAAAAGTTTTGAGTGCACAATGAAACACATGAATGTATATACAAAGCTATACTGATCCTTAATCCACCTACCAAAGCACCAACTATACTGTCTGGGAATGTTCTCAGGCAATTTTTTTTTCCAGCTTCGTTATCCAAGATCTGTTTTCTCTGGAGATACCAGAGATCAAACCAAACAAGTGTGTGTTTATAAATTCCATGTGATCTATAGCACTTCCTTCTCCATCATACTTGAATTAACTGGTGGAGAACTTGTGGCCCTACAGATGTTGCTGAATAACAAGTCCCAGCAGCTCCAATTAAAATGGCAACGAAGGATGCTGAGGCCAGGAGTTCAGCAATATCCGAAGGTCCCCAGGCTCCCTTTCCCTGCTCAATGAATGCCCAAAGAAACACAATGTTACCATACCTGTTTGTCAGCCCTCTGAGGTAGGCCAGGTCAGGAAACAGGCACTGCAAGGATTCCAGGAATGCTACTTTATTGTTATAGGGCGCAATAACAGAATCTTGAAAGCCTATCAGTTTTGGTCTGTCTGTCTGTCTTATACCAAACAGAATCAGAGCATGGAATCAGAGCTTTTTACTTTCCCAGGACTGAATTGCCATTTCTCCTCCCTTAATGGCTCATCCATTCCTTCACCAAGGTCATCTCTACATTCTTTTACATTGTGTGCATTAGAATACCAACTGCATGTATGTTACATAACACTTGAAAAAGCACTAACTTCATGGCTTTTCATGTTTCCTGCCCAAAAGAAACAGTATATTATTCTTGTACAAATCCTTCTTATATCTCCAAGTCACCATACTTGTTTTCTAAGACGTTCGCTACAGAATAGTGATTAAACTTCTTGATATTCCAAATATTTGCTGCTTCTAATAATTAAACAAACCAAGCGAAATAATGAAAACAAACTCGTCTTAAATCATTCTATGTGATGCATGTGCTCATGGGGTAGTTTTTTCTGTGAGTTACTAGCACACACCACCAGAAAGTTCTTGAAAAGGGTACAGCAGCTTAATTAGAAATATGCATTTCGTTAGAAGTGAGCATTCCTCAAACAGCTGGCTCACCAGCCCATTTTGAAGCCTGAGCTGCTTATGACTGGTAGAATGCTTGAGTAATAACTCAAAACTACTGCAACTTTGCTTGAAATAAACTTTGCTAAGGTCTCTCAGATAACTGCCTAAGACTGATGGAACTTCCTCCACTAAAAATCCCCATTTGCATATCTCAGCCTCACTTATTTCAATGGGTCATGCAGTTGAGAATTCTTAGGGAATCTCTGTTTTTTCTGTATCTTGAATGTAAGATACTGTGTCCTGGCACTGTCCTGCAACATCTGTGTTTGTTAAGCTTTGCGAAAGAGAGTTGGTTGAAAGGAAAATAGCGTGAGAGAGGGCAAATCAATAAAGGTAAAAACTAATACAGGATATCCTATACCTCCCTCCTTTGAATCTTTTTTCATGCCCATGGTGCAATGTGTTTTTCCTAACTTTCCACCCAATATAATCTGTAACTATGGTATATTTACAAATAGCACACACTGTTGACCCAGGAATTGCATGGCATTGCCCAGCACAGATTGTTACCTCGTCCACAAAGAGGTGTACTTGGTCCCCAACCTTCAGGGTTTCTGAAACGAAGACTTCATGGATTACATAGCCACCAAATACTTGTACTGATTCAACAGGGAAAAGTACATCCTCAAAAGCAGGAAAAAGACATGATGGTTAGCATAGACACTTGATGATTTTTGCAGAGCAGGTTGTCCTGTTCTTCTACAAGAAATTCAGTCATCTTAGTCATTTTCAAATGCTATTTATCAGTCAACTAAGCTCCTAAAGTAACCTTGGGATGAGTACAGAATATGACTAGAAGAGGCAAACCTTCTGCATTTAGTACAAATACTAAGGCAGTCAGCCTTCCCTGTCCTTTTTGCTTATATTTGCTATAGTGACCAAAAAAGAAGCAAGAAGATGTGGACAAGGACAAGACTGGTGCTGCAGCTTGTAGGCTGCAATCAAGATGGCTAATACATTTCAAGGACGTCCATGCCCAGAGTCCAGTTCTGACTGGGGAAAAGCTTACCTGCTGTCTGCCACACACCATATAGCCTTGATCAGATGCCTGACCACCCTGCTCAGCGTAGAAGCAAGTCCTGTCTAGCAGAACCCCACAGTGTTGTTTTCCAGAAACTTCCTCTTGGAGAGTCCAATCTTTATAGAGTGCCAGGACAGTGGCTTGACATGGCTTGAACACTGCAAAGAGTAAGAAACAGGTCATACGCTCCATTTCTACAAGGTGGCCTATTCAATGGGGCCACCTGGAACACAAGACAATCAGCCAGTCATGTAGCACTGATCTGACAATTCTAAGATGCTCACCTGAATTATTTCAGGGCCAAATATTTTGGATAGTCACAGAGCATTTGTACTCACAGCACCCAAGAACACAAGCATATTGAAAGGATATTATTATGTATAGAAGTAGCTCCTTCTCATGAAAGGCCTACCTAGTTACCCAAATTCAAAGCATTTTTTTCATATTGCTTAATAGGCAGGAGATCCTCATGAGGTTTAGACCTTTGCCAGTTTCTGTAATGTACTGCTGGAGCCATAACAAAATTTGCAGCTTCCACCAAATAGATGAAGTTGGGTATGTGAAAAATCTAAGAAATACAAAGATTAATGACTGTGAAGATACCACTCACAGTTCCCCACATAGCTAATGACAATGATGTATTACCGACTTTAACTGCATTAAATGAATTTAAATGTGTATCCACTCAATACAAGTGTTATAATAGATTTTCTTCCTTCACGTTCCCCTCCCCAGCTCCAAACTCAGGACAGTTAAACCTCCTCTGTTGCTCTACAAAAAAGGTCAGAGTATAGGAAACTATCTTAGACTAACTTGGGGAATATTGGGTTATTTAGCCTAACAGTGTCTACTCTGATTGGCAATACTTCTTAAGGTTTCTTCTTTTATGAATGAAATAGTGACATCATGAAACTTGATGGAATAATGTCAAGTGTGGGGTTGGAACAAACTAGGGAATTCCCTTTCTTGTCAGCAACCTGCTAAAAGCAGGCTTCTTTCCTCTAGATGCACTGGAGTACAGTTGTGCCCTGCCAACTCCCATGGCGGTTGGTGAATAAGCCCTGATTGAAGATATTTTGCTGCTTAGGCAAAATGGTTCTTCTCCTCTCTTCCCTCATAGATCCCACATGCAAAAAACAACATGGGGGGAGGTTAAATTTCTCCATGGTTTCCAGGGGCACCAAGTAGGACTTGGGTACATACAGCTCACTTGGTTAGAGAAGAGGTGCTTCTTCATATGAAGGGTGGACAAGGCAGAGCCTCCCACCGCTGAAATCCAACACCAAAACAGACAAATGTAGACTGTGTGATTCTGTATGTTTCTTGTATGAGGATGGGAGTGAGAGGACTTCATAAGGCTTCCCTCTGCTCCTCCCACTCCCACACTGAAGCTCCCTGACTGCCTCCAAATGGCTTTAAACTGTTGTGGGAGGGAGGGGTGACTTTGGCTCTTTTTTCATTGTGAGGGAAATTTCAGACGGAGCAGGGCTAGGAAGTCTCATGGATGCAAATCATTCCCTCTCCCATCCCTAACACCCCACAAATCCTGAAAAGAATGCTGAAATTAGTGTGAAAAACAGTGATTTTGCTCCATGTTTCAGGATTTGAGGTGAGTTTTAAGGGTGGAAATAGAACAGCTTGTTTCTCTGAAGTCTCCTGCTCCCATTCTCCTCCTTATACCTATCCTCAGGGAAAAAAACCCACACATAAAAAACAAGCAAAAAAGAAAAATGTCAGTCTCACTGTTTTGATGATATCACCACATCAACTGATGATATCCTACTGCCCTTTGGAAGTTCAGGAGGCAGAGATGCAGCCACCTGACTCCTCAAACAGAACTCCCCCTGGTTATCCAAGATCATTTTATTTAGCTGAAGCTTGCAAGCATACAACATATAGATGCAGTAAGAAAAGAGGAAAAGGCTGCCTAAGCGTGCTTTTGTGAAGCTCACAGTTATGCTACTACTGACTTTTCAAATCAGGTAATGAGCCCAGGTATCTTATCCTAACAGAAACTTTTGTTTCCCTGCTGGAAAATAAAGTAAGGCCAGTCTTCACCAAGGCTGGTTGATCCTTACCATATTTCCCATCTTGTCCAAGTTTATAGTCATACTTGGGGGAATCATCAGTAATAGGCACATTCCGCTGCTGCAGCTGGGCCAATGAAAGCACATCCAGCCGCATGCCAGCACTCTGTGGCTGCTGTTGCTGCTGCAACTTAGCACTGTGCTGCACAGGTAGGGAGATGGGGGGGGGGGGGGGGGGGGAGAGAGAGAGAGAAAACACAAGAGTGAGCCACATCCACTTAATAAAACCTGTACACAGAATTCTTGAGACTGTAGCATTTCCGTAAGCTATCCCAATGTAGGATCAAGTTACAAGTTTAAGTTACTGAGAATCTCTGCCCCCTTTTAAATCAAGCACTGGGGAGACGGGATTAAATGCTTACTACGAAATCTCACTCCAACTCATTTTGCTCCTGTATACCTTTAAGGGGGAAAAAAAAAATCAAAAGGGCTATTCTGTTTGGAAAAAAAACAACAGATCAGAATTAAGACAGATGTCAACAGTGTACTTTATTATTATGGATTATGGTTTACTACAGCTAACGGGGGGCTTCTTTAGTGAACAACTGGAGTGAACAACCTGTAGCCTTCCAGATGTTGCTAAACTCCCAACATTCTTCACCACTTACCATTGGGGCTGTTGGGAGCTCTCTTTTAACTATGCCTAGAAATCCATGGGTTGCCTATTCTTGCCTTAGATTTACCTAAAAGGAAAAAAGGCATTTTTTTCCTTTTCTAAGGCAATGGTCAGAGGAAAAATGAATGAGATCAATTAGGATGATTCATAAAAAGGACATATCTGAGGCTTACTTCAGCATGTTCTTGAGCCAGATGATCAAAAGTAGCAACGTCTAGCTGTACGCCTTTTTCTTCAAGCATCAATTTAATGAGATCCAGGGGGAACCCCAAATTTTTATAGAGAGACCAAGCTATCTCGCCTGCAGACAAGAATATGAGCAACATCAGCAACTTTCCTTTGGCTAAGCATGTCATCCAAAGTGGAGTGTCTGCCATTTCCAATGCTCCCTAACTAGAATTTGAAATTACAAAAAACTCAACTGTAGGATAACCACTGACTGTGGTTACAGAGGTAAGACATAAAAAAGTGGCGCATTCATTCCCATTAACCAGCCAGAATATTTTACTGTATCACGCAAACATGGTCAAAATGAAAGGACAAGTCACAGGTAGGCAGGTGGCTTTGCAAGCAAGGCATCTATCTGACTATATGTTGTACTTCGGCAGCTAGTGGTGGTTAGTTGTGGAGAAATAAGACCCTTGCCTGGGAAGACTCTGGAATGATTCAATTTCTGGAGAGTTCGGTTTATAACTCGGCGCCCTTGCAAGAGGGAAGAGAAAAATGCTGCCTCATTCTCATTGATGATGTTCATAATCTGTAGGGAGAGAAGAAGCAAATTGAGGAGGCACAGAAACCCATCATTCAAAAAGCAAATTATTACAAGTGACAAGGTGAAAGATGAAAAGGCAAATTAAAAAGTCGAATAGCCAACTCTTCAAGATATCTTGACCACTACCCAGAGGATGTAGTGAAAGCATGATCCATGCTCCTCAGCTCACTCTCTAGAACACTACTCTCCCTGCAATCCTATGATCCAAGTGGAGAAAAGGGCAGAGTAAGAAATATGTAGAAGAAAAAAGGCATTTGCTCTGGAAAATAAAATCTAGACGTTGGTCTAGGCTTTCAGATGCATCTCGTCTACAAAAGACCTTCATCAATCATAATTAAATGTGGCATCAAAGGTATCTGCCACAGGACCTTTTCTGGAACTGGGGCCACAAAGTAGGATGCAATTCTTACTTGAAGACAGAATAAGCATCACTACAATATATGTGACCATTGTTCTTTGCTATTCCATGACAAAAATATAAGACAACAGTTTTAGGAGTAGACTGAATACTTTTGGACAATGCCACCTTTTTTTGTAAGTTTCAAACTTTTGTAAGTTACCTGCAATTTTTCATAAAGAGGGTTCCATGTTCTAAAATAGGACCATAAGAAATTCCTTTATCTTCCTTAGTCCCTTAGTTAAATATTCTCTGTACTAGCTGGCAGTGGTTCCTCCAGTGTCAGACTAGAATCTTTACCAGGAATATCTGGAGAGGCCAGAGATGAAAGCTGGAATCTTTTGATTGTAAATCAGAGCGCCCTATCACTGAGGAGGCACCTTCTTTTCACCTTGGAAACACCAGTAAGTATCCTGTAGAGCATAGCTGGCTGGGGAATTCTGGGAGATGAAGTCCACCCATCTTCAAGTTGCCAAGGTTGAGAAACATTGATGGAGAGAATAGGGGAGGAGTTTATAGGAAGTTAATAGATCTGGCTATAATGAGAGATGTCTTAGTGTCATTCCACTTGAACTTCTCTTGAACTTCTGTATGCTTTTGAATATTGCATTGTACTGTATTGTACTGCATGCTGTTAAATAATGTATTCCTTTCAACTGCTTTATGCTCCAAATGTCTGAAAACCTTAACCGGTCCAGAATACTACAATCATGCTATTTAACTCACTGTTTTTATGGAGAACTCCACTGACTATTACAGTAGTCTGCTTCCAGGCTAATTTAAAGAGCTGGCTATGACTTCTAAATTCCTATATGATTTGGGACCAGATTGTTTGAAACAATCTCAATGGCTGTTCCCAGGCCTTAGAACTCTGCCAAGAGAGCAGCTTTCTGCAAACAGAAAAGCATTCTTTTTATTCAGGAGGGAAGTCGCACTGAAGCTGCTAAAGCAGGCTTTAACTAATTGGGTTCTTCTGTTCCTTTTTATTGATGTGTTTTTATTGTTTTAATTTTTATCTATCTTTTTATTCCCCTTCGTGGATCACTGCCTTGTCGTGGCAAAGGGGCTTGCGTAACTCAGTGAAGCCATGAGCTATACCGTGCAGGGCCCCCCAAGACGGACAGGTCATGACAGAGAGTTCTGACAAAATGTGGTCCACTGAAGAAGGAAA